GGAAAAAGTTGCTTCAAATGACCTCAGGAACCTCCCATTTCCCGATTACGTGACATTTTCGGGACACCCTGTATATATATACCTACCAGACTCGAATATACCTCTCTCGTCTCGCCAAGGTATGGTGTACGTGGACCCTGCGGAATTGAAGTGGATGCCGTATATCAAGACCTGGATAACAACTCTTTCGGAAGCTCTCGTTAAAGACGAACATCGACAGTTTATCATTGATCTCTTCGCAAAATACTTTGAAGCCGGCTTGGTCTTCTGCAGAATGAATTGCGAGTTTCCGATATCTCAGGTAGACATCGTGTTCCGTTAAAGTATCGTCACTTTTTCACCGCTTCGTTTGTGCTTGGTTTTGTCGATAGGTTGACATCGGCAAAGCGGCTATGACCTGCTCGGTAATAGAGAGTCTGCTCAGCGAGCCGGGGGCCATCGAAAGAACCACGGACAAAGCACGGATCAAATCGTTCATCACTCAGGTCTTCCTGTTTGCTTACCTATGGGCGGTCGGTGGTAACGTCGTGGATGCCTCTCGAACCAGCTTCGAAGAATTCACGAGGAACCAATTCGAGGGCAACGAGGACATAGTGTAAATATTACCGCTAAATATAAATAAATTATTAAATTAATAATAATAATAATTAAATAAATATAATAAATTAAAAATAATAATAATTAAATATTAATATTATAAAAATTATTATTTATATTATTTATTATTATTATATATATAATAATAAAAATATATATTATTAAAAATAAATAATATATTATTAATATATTGTTATTATTATTATTATTATTAATATATTAATAATATATATTATTATTATTATTATTTATATATTATTATATATTATTATTATTATTATATAATAATATATTATTATTATATTATTTATAATTATCATTTTTTATATTAATATTACCGCATACTGGAATATTATTGCTCTTCGAATCGATCGAACTCGTTAATCTTTACATTTTAGGTTGTCATCGGACGACCTGTGGAACCTTTTCGTGAACGTTCCCGGCCACCGACTCGACACGTGGACAGATATCATGCCGGAATTCGTGTACGACAGCGAGACACCTTTCTTCGACATCCTCGTTCCGACAGTGGACACCGTGCGATTCGGTTACATGATGCAGAAGTTGGTGGAGATAAACAAACCGGTATTTTTCACTGGAGACACTGGTCAGCAACATTTCTATCAACAATCGTAAACCCAGTTCCTTAAGAACGTAAGGATTTATGCCTGATTTACGTTCGCTATGGTTTTTTACAGGAGTTGGAAAATCGTTGATAGCAAAGATAGTGTTGAAAAACTTGGAGGAGACGCAACTCTGGATGCCGATCACTTTAGCCTTCTCGGCTCAGACCAGTAGCGGCAGGACTCAAGAGATTCTCGAATCGAAGCTGGAAAGAAGAAAGAGGACTGTATTGGGGGCACCGATTGGTAAACGAGTCTGTGTATTCGTCGACGACGTCAATATGCCTAAACTGGATACTTACGGATCTCAGCCGCCCATCGAACTTTTACGGTAACAGCTTAAACCGGATCATTATAAATTCATTGCATTCCGTTAATGGCGACACCTCGACGTATGATCGAGCGAGAAAACTTGGTGGGCTTAACACGTTCGTCGCCCAGCGCAATTCGGTTGAGTTTCTCGCGGGG